CTTTAAGATATATGTGGCTCTGTCACCTTTGAAGTCGATGTTCATGTATAAAGTTTTCTTTTCCATTGTGATTATTTGTGTTTTCGGCTTCATATTCTTATCAATGAATATCGAAGGATACTCGTTTTTGATAAGTATCTTCTTTAAAAAGCCAAATTCTTCGTCTGCGATGTTGGGGCTACAGATTCTTCGTATTCTTGTAGCGAGTGTTATTATTAGGTTTCTTTTTCCGCTGATGGGAACCCAGCTGTGGAAATTTCATAGTTGGCCATTCCACATGGGTTTCCGGTAGATAGATCCTTTTAAGGTACCGTCTTGCTTTCTTTTCATTTCCACGTCTGTTTCAAAATTTCATTTTATCATGCTGAGCCATCCTTTCCCAATGATAATTTCCCTATCTTTTAAAACAATTAGTCCCTTGATGAATACTTAAACCAATAACAATCAAACGATGAATAAACTTTCCTTGTTTTAAAATTTGTTATTTTTTAATACCATTGTTTATTATCAGTATTACTGTCATCCTGTAAAAAGAAGTATATATACTTGCGATTGTACAGCTTTGACAATGAATTCGCCAAAAAGAGAACTCTTTGCTGAACTAATCTTACCAGTATATTTCGTCTTTTGTTTTTCAGTGGTACTATCTGATCTCTTTATTACACATGATACTTTAGAAATATCGTCTGAAAATATGCATGAAATAAACCGAAGCAAATTTTGTATTATCTTTTGTGTTACTTACTAATGTTCAGTAGTCTATGGCAAAAATTTAAAAACAGAGTGAATAAATTGATCTGGTGTTGTTTTACTTGTATCTTTCCATTGTTATTTAGGACTGCAATTGGTCAGTCTGATGTTGGTATATATGCATCCTGTGCGGATTGCCTCGATATAGCTTGGATGCCCAACAACAAGTCAATTTAAATTTCACCATATTGCACATGCAGGTGAATATCAGGATTCAGTAGCTAAGTGGAGAACGTGATGGCGTTTGAAGCGAACGATACTTGATTCGATTCTTGGGGTAAACATCAACTCTGGGATGTAGGTACATCCAAATGACGAGTCTCAAATAGGATGAAACGCGCGTCCTGGGTTCCACTGCTAGCCATTATCCTACATTGAATGGATGTTTCGAATTGCGAAATTAATTTGTATTTAACGAAGAATATTCTTTTCAATGAATTTCTCATCAGGTTCTACAATTATCTCATATCCAAATTAATAATCCATAAAATTGGCCAGGTTTAAGGCAGAGTACATCTTTTGGAAATTGTAATGTGTGAATCAAGGATTGTTGTTTGTCATATCGTTAATGTTGGGACTGACTAATATGAAGTTGTTGACTTGAATCAGTTTATAAGTGAAATGAAATTGTGAGATAAATAATAATCAGAATAAATATGATCAATATGGGGTGAGAGACGGAATAGGGTAATTACAAATCAGAAATTACGTATATATGTAGAATAATATGAATTAGGTCAGATATAGTAGATAGGGGCGGATCCTGAATAAATTTCTGGAAAAGGTTATCAAGTGTAATAATGATAACAATGATAAAGATAATAATAATAATAATAAGATGATGAATTTGGGACATAAAAATGAACATTAATCAAACTATGCCACCATATTATAAAATTGATTATTAACTAGTTGGCCTTGAAGTTAGCCAGGGTAAAAGGAGCGGCTGAACATATTTCTTTTAGATGCAAAGCCCCCGCTTTTTGATCCGAATAACAATTGCTTCAGCCATCTGCAGGATTCTCAATCTGATGGAATTAGGTAAACTGCTATTAACACTATATATTATTGCGCAAGATTACTCTATGTTGGCTGTATATCCCATCTAAATTAAATGAGCTAAAATGAAGCTGTTAACCATTTTAACTACACCTTTGCTTAACCACATTGGAAGGTACTCACGAGCCCGAATATACAAATCCCTAGAACATCTGCCAATATAACTTGCTCTAAAGGAGCAGTTGAATTGATAGATACGGAAAGATGTGGTTAATCTGGGCAATTTATCTTTAAACCTCATAGTGATCATTGGACGTGTAGAAAACATTAATTGTAGTTTACCTGCATTAAAAGCGGAACCTGATGAGAAATTATTCAAAAGAATATTCTTCGTTCATATAATTGTGTTTTAGTATAATGGGAATTTGGTTAAGAAGTAGAAATACCATCATTTTGTTCTGTTTATAACTGGATTAAAATAGAACCATTCTTAAGCAAAAGTGTTATTATTCCGCATAAAAATTATCGGCAATTTTATTGTCAAGAGCTATGGAGTGAATATGTATTGAGAAGACGCAGAAAATCCCTCGAAAAAAGCACAAAGGGGCCCTGCAAACGCTGAGAAACATCTTATCCAATCAGTATTCACTAAAGGTGTCTCAGAAACATCTAGAAAGTGAAAATTCACGTGACACATTTTTGAATGGGTTTTCACCTATCCTGCTACAATATTTAGAAAGGCCCAGGAAATTTCCAGAAGCCCAAAGCCACTTGAAATACTATAAATACCCTCGATCTTCTGTACATAAACTAACCTTAGAGTAAAGTGTTCTTCCCATATTTCGCACCTTTTCTCTCGTGTTCAGGTCGCCGTGTGGATTTAGTCTGGGGGTTCAACTGGTAGATTTATCAGTATGAATCACCATACCAACCAAATAAAGAAATATGAGAGATCAGTAGTATGTGAGACTAATGGACCAAAAACAGAATGGCATATTGAAGTATTTTGATGTAATTTCACAGGGTAGATAACCACCAGTTGCTATGATCAATAATGGGATATGATTACAAGCGATAGTATGTCAACAGAACGAATATACGTTTTAATGGACGATGTTAGAATGTCCCAAATTTAAGAATCTGAGATTAAACTAGGACCATAGCAACCAAAACGGTTTTGTAAGCCACTCTCTTGTATACATAGTTGAAGATTGAATAAATCTAAAGCTTCCTCATCGAAAAGAAGACACAAACATATACATTTTAATAGACTACCTTTGATTTTATCAATATTTTTGAACAATGAGCTTGATGCAACATAGTGACTGTCAACTACTCATTGAGAAATGGATGACCTTATTTTTCCAGATTCTTCCTTTAACGAAGAACACTGAAAACGAATAATCATATTTTTAATGTAGCTCAATATACTATACAGTGTTTTATTGAATTTGTTGTGTAGAGATTGGTAAAATTTACAGGTGGTACTCATCATTCTTTAATCACATTTCAGATACCACTGATAACCAGCTGTTTCATCCTCACATGAAACTCCCCGGAAATGTACAACCTCCATTTCACCATGGACTAAGACTAGGACCTTCTGGTCTAGCTGAATTTGTGCAACTGGAAACTCACCCAATGGTTCTAATGGTTCAGTATTTGCAGCGACATCTGAAGTTTCTTGGTACGACTCCTGGTGAGGTTATGGATATGCACTTCTGACATTTATACCAGAAATAAATAACTATCTGATATCTTGAGCTTTCAAACATACTCAACTGAGATCAATCTGTGAAGGAATACAGGCCTGTAAATTGAACTAATCTCCATGATATTCCTCCAACTAAGCTATAACACGACTTTTTTTACAAAAATAAACATTCTTATTCTATAAACTTCGTTTACATAATATTGAAAGTAGAATATCTCCATTTTTTAAAAACTGGATACAATACTACTGTACTTTAGTATCCTACCAAGTACGTTATCTTAGTAACAAACCCTTCATATTGGAAATTATTACGTCAATACATTTGCGTGAAAGTTCTTTAACATAAAGCTTCCATTTATTGTGTTATACAAATCTTTCAGGTTTCTATTTGTGATATTTTGAAATTTTACTTATATTTTCAACTACATTGTCAATAGGCTTTAAAGCCACAAAACAATCAATTAATAACCTATTTCAGTCGTTTATATTTGTATTTTCCACAAGGTAACCTCTAACTGTTTTTGTTGTTGTTTCGTTTGAGTATACTTAATTGTTGATTATTTTGTTTTATGATATGTTCATTGTGTCCATAATGAATGAAGACTTGATGAGAACAACCGATTTATTATTCAGTCCAAATAAATCAAGTAAATTTCAATTTTGCCACATTGCACAAGCAGGTGATTATTAGGACTCAGTAACTAAGTGGGTAACGCGATTATGTTTGAAACGGACTGTACTGGGTTCGATACAGGGAGTAAACATAAACTCGGGGATGCGGATACGTCCAGCTGAAGAGCCTCAAATAAAACTAAACGCATGTCTTCGATTCCACTGCTAGTCACCGTCCATTTTTGCTTATGGAAATTATAGAGTTCCTTTGTAAAATGTGAAAAATCATACATTAAATACTTGATTCGCAAATCTTCCATCAATTGTTTCAAACTTCATCGTTCCTTCATTGTTATTACAATTACTGTCTGTTTACATTCCCGTTCTCTTCAATTCGATCTTCACGACCTTCTACTACCAGGCATTCCACTTCCGATTGAGGTTACATACTACTTATGTTGACAGACATGAGTAGCATACACTAAATACCTACTGAGCTATCCTTCGATAGCTTTTTTTTGTTTACAGTTCTCGTTTTGTATTCATGGGAATGTTATCAAAAAAGTTATACTTTCCTCTATATTACCCTAGAATCAATATGCCTATAGGTTGAAAATAAAAAGAACCAATAACTGAATAATAGAACATCATTTAAGTAGACCGTAATATGTCTAAATGTACCTTCAGTTTAAAGTTTTTAGGATTATGTAATATCTTGTTTAACATATTTTCAGCAGAAATTACAAAATTATCTGATGCCCTAACGAGTTACAGTTCATTGATTATTCCAATTTCTAAATATATCCTATTTCAATATGTCGAAAAATTGGTTTCAAAATAAGTAATCAGTAATGCACAACAATGTAAACTTCTAGAAATCATATCATTTTTGTTAGTTTTTCTTTCAGGAATGGTTATAAAATAGTTGTTTCTACTCTAACATGGTGGTCGGGCTTGCCTATCGTAATGAACAAATCGAACTATATTGGCTAGAACAATCGTTCTTCGATGTCCTACCATGCCAGACAGGTCGGTTAAAGAACAGTAAATAAAGTACCCAACTGCGTCACAAGATAAACACTCACTTGTAATTCTCAAGTTCAAAGGAGAAGAGGAAGACCAACGAACACATTACACCAAGAAATGGAAACATGCATGAGAAGAATGAACAATAATTGGTCAATGACCTATCCTCCACTGGGAGTAACAGACGTAAGTAAAATCAAAGATTTGTTAATAAATAACACAAAAGTTTTCTTTATAGATACACAAGAAAAAACATAATAATAACAATAATAAATACTCTAAATGCAAATTGTATTATCTATTAAAATGGTTTTCTCTCTCTCTCTCTCTCGTAATTATTTCCCTTTACAATAAAAAATAAATAAATAAAAAGAACAACGAAAATAATAGTGATCATCAACTAACTTAAATGTATTCTTCTTTTCCTGTTACATAAGACAAATTCTTTCCAAATGCTTCCCTTTTTATGAAAAGAAATTGTTGATCATTTATATTGAATGTAATAAACTAATTATTCATTTTCATTGAATTGTTAATTCAATATACAAAAAAAAGAAGGAAATATACATATATGTATATAAATATGTTATTGTATATATGATTGAATTGAATACATTGTGAACTGATTCCATTATGATTATGATCTATATTAGTTTATTATTCTGTTGTTGTTTTTTTTTCTTCTTGTTATTGAATACTCTCATAGTTTAACAATCTCAGCTATCGGGAATTTTGAAACAGACATTTAAAAAAAAAATCAATAACAATCGGGAAGAATTGTTCAGGATAGAGTTTGATCAGTGAATCCTGGTAGGCGGCTTATGCTCCTTCATGAGGTGTAACAGGTCTAAGTAAGTAAGTAAGTAAGTAAGTACGTAACAATCTCAGGATTATATGTAGACAGAAATATACAAAGTTCATAGAAATCTATACATAAATTTTTCTATACAAGTTTAGTATAAATAACTACAGTTATAGATATGAATAAATACACTATACTTATTAATAATACAATACAGGTAATATAAGTAGTATATATCGATAATGATAAAATAATTGAATTAAATTTATTAAAACAATATAATATGTATAATGAAATTGTTTTCTAATTGAATTAGCTGAATTACATTTATCTTTATTACAAAAACATAAATGACCAATGGATGATCGTGATTCAGCTATACAAACTAAATATTTCTCCATTTTCATATTTAAACTTGTTGAACAATTTCTTATTAAATGTTTCTGTCCATCTAAATGAATAACGAAAGAAAGACAACAATAAATATTATATGCATTAATATTTATTGGTAGACTATAAAATATTTAAAATTACTAATAAGTAATACTGTGGTGTGGGTTACTTATATCCATATAAGTAGTATATAATGACGGTCAAGCATAAAATGTATTTCAGTAGAAGATCGATAAAGAAAAAACGGGAACGAAACACAATTGGTATAAAAATGCATGAATAATGAAAGCTGAGATAATGGACTGATATTTGCAAAAGGAACAGTTAAGTTTAAGACGATGGATTGATATTTTTCAAATTAACTATTTACCACATGGTTCTCGAATTTTAGTCAAACGTTCGATTGTCCGCACCCGGGTTCTTATTCACCCCAATAATTGGGAGTAATAAAGTTTTTAAAACTATTTCATAGAGAATTATTGTATATGTTATCGTATTTTCATCATATAACTCTTATTTTAAGCCTTCATTTGTAAACATTCACTGTTGTGATGTACTTTACTGTTCTTAGTCTATCGTTAATTCATTATAAACCTAATGTTCAGTTTTATACTACATATCACTTAGTTGTGATTTCTTATTTGTAATGTATGCTGTGGTCATATAATTGAAGTATATAATCCTGTGAGTTTTGAGTCAGGAGGAAAATACAGAGCAATATAACAATAGAAGGCAACTTTGGTCGCTATCTTCACCTTCTGATTAGCCACTGGGGATAAGAGGAACTAATGATTTCCGGTCATTGTTCATGGCTATTTTTGTCATTGTTTAAGGGAAAATCGTTGCTTCGATAGACAAACAAGTCATTGGTAAATTTTGTATTGTTAGATGACCCGATCAAGATAACGAGAAAGAAGTTCTAATTTCATAATAAATACACTGTAAATTAGTGATTAGAGATAATCAGTAAAATGTACCATCAGTAAATTGTATCAATATTTTTGAGGGAACTGATACTATCTGTGAAACTTGAACTCGGAACACTTAGTGGTGTAATCAGAGACTCTGCTATTGAGTATTTACAAAAACAGTAAAATATATTAAGAAGGAATATAGAAATTGAAAAAAGTCATACACATTACACGTATCATGTACCAGTTAAAGTAAAAACTGAAATTGTCTGGATGGATATGGGAGAGAAAAAAGATGTATTAAATATGGGGTTTGACTAATTCTTTTGAATATTTTTGACTTCTATAGTGTATGGAAAAAGTATATTATCAATGAATGAGACAGATTAGTCAAAGTATAATAAACGTATAGTTCATAATGACAAGAGGTTTGATATAGATCGGATATATATATATATATATATATATATATATATATATATATAGAAAATTGCGCTTAGAACTAGTGAAACTAAGAAACCTGTCTTTGTTTTCTGAAACGAACAACGTCAGTTGAGAAATAAGTCATTATGTATTTGTACAAATATATGTACCCGCATGAATATATGCCTTCGTTTGACTAAGTAGGATACATAGAAAAGGTTAACACATAGACCTTCGATCTTATATCGTTAAATAAAAGTAGCTTGAATTTTAGTGTGAAACATCATCTTCTTCTACTATACTCCATAACAAGTTTTCTACGAATACCAATCAAGAATATCAAGTAGTATGCGCTAGTTTTAAAGTGGAGGTATATTATAACTGACAAACCGAAGAAATGGGTTATTACTGAAATAAACACAATTACAATTTCATGATGATATGATGTAACTTAACATATCTCAATAACTTCTTAAACAGATAATAACCGTTTATCTTTGAAATATCTGATTAAACTGATTAAACAAAAAGCAGAAATAAATAAATAACTCATTAGACCACATTATTAGGTCAAATATTTTTTAAAACTGTTCTTTGTTAAAATTGGATAATTGCTAGTAGTGCAATCGGGGACGAGCATTTCGTCTTATTTGTAACTTATCAAGCAGATTTCTCTGTATTGCAGTATTAATTTTCATACTGAAACTCGAACCCAGTACTGTTCGTTTAAACAATCAATAAGTTATCCTTTGAACTACTGAATCCGGATAGTTAATAGCTCGTGCAAATGGTATGAATAAACCATTGCTTATGGTATTAATTAACTAAAAGTATCCCGGAATGGATAAATATGCAAAAAAACATGTATAAGAAATTTTTAATCTGTGATTAACTGTCACTTTATATTTATCCGTAAATATTTACGACAATTCTTGTTCCCATGATATATATTTCGATGACCGAATGTATTTTATGTTTTTCTGAAAGAGAGGAGGATCATATACAAACCATCATGGTAGTACTTCTTAAGTATCTCAATAATCAAGTTTGCGAGAGGTTTTAGGTATCTTATGAAGGCATGTAAGTACACTGTGACAGACAAAATTAATTTAAATAGATCTAAAACATATGAATTTATGATAACATACAGACATTTGTAAAACTGATGACACAGAAAATTAAGATCACCGTGTAACTACTACATCCTAGCGGTTCATTAACACGAACCCCTACCCTACTATGGATAACTTAATTCGTATTACCTCGTGTATTACGTAATCTTTGGCTGGAAATTCTATCTGAGTAAGTAATTAGATTGTTACTTTTCTCAGGCCACTCACATAGATTTACCTCGAATTAAATTATAAGCAGCCCACAGACTGACTAAACTATACATTCACATACTAATTATTTTAAAACTTACAAATTCCAGTAAAAGTTTCATTACTAATAAATACAAATATACAAATTGTATTTTAATCACACATACATTAAGAGTTGATTGAAGCAAGCAGTATAATATAAAATAGTATCAAATATATCAATGTTTGAATTAACCACAAAAGATGTACAAGTATATAATGAGAAATATTTTTAGTTTACCTGGACCTTGAAAAGCCCATTTAAAACAATAATCATTACAATCTATTAAAGGGAATGATTTGGTCTGTTGTGGTTGTCGAAAAAATGGATCATTACAGTGATTGTCTTCAACAGAATTACAACTGTAACATTTAATTCGTTGACCTTAAATTATAGAAGGAAAAGACGAAAAAAATATTGAGAAATGAAGTCGAACTATCTGTACACTTATATATGTATACTATAAATATTTACTGATCAAGTGAATAGTATAACTTATTGACTTTCGTAAAATATATAGATTACAAACATAATAAAAATTAATGACATAAAATTTACAAATAACAAAATAATCTCTAATCAATGGTGAAAGAAGTGGTCTGAAAAGTCGAAGAATAAGCTGAACAAACTTCGAAATTTTTTTACATTCATTTACACATTACTTACTTTACACTGGTTAAATTTGTGAAATTCATTGCTGAAGTTCACATTGCAATATAGACACTACCACTATATATATACGTAAAGTATGTATCCTTATAGTGTTTACTCAGTTTTATGTCCTGTCAAAAAATGACAATAAAATATAACATCAAGCTACAAGTTGTGCTACGCCTATCTCTCGACTAGTGTACAAGATATGAAATCATATCTTGTAATTCTAACATTTCTGAGAAAGTTTTATGAAGTTTGAAATTGGTTAAAACAAAATGAAACAATTACGTATTTCATACAACCAGATCCCTTGATAAATTTAAACAGAACAAGAACAACAATATTTAAACAATAAGATGAATCTGTTCTATTTCACGGTTTCTCATCAGATGCATATAACGTAAAATCACAATTATTAACACAAATATGGTTAACAACAAGTGTTTAACATACTTTAGTTTGTGAATTTTAGATAAATGTTCGAAACTTAACGAAGACCATAATAATAAGAAGAATAGGGACACAAAATATATGAATGAACATGGTCAAGATCGATTTATATTTGTACACTGAAAAGTAATAATGCAGAGTAAAAAGGATGTCATAGTTACTGTTAATTATTACCAAGATAAAGGTAATTAAATTAATGAGTGTTTTGGCAATCGCTCAACATGATGAAAAATAAGCGAATATATCCACATTAATAGGATTGTATAAGAAATAAAAACAAAGATAGAAGGTTGAGGACAGGGCCGAAATGAAATCGAAAATTAATGAGGGTTATCAGATGAACCTTCAATCACCATGATGGGGAAAGGCTAATCACACTCTCCTTCTGCTGTGCTAATGAGGTATGGCAACCTGGACCGATGCACATATGTGCCTGGTCCTACGTTGTAGCTGACTGACTGACTCTCCTTCTGCATGTATTAGTCAGGTCGGAAACGTTTGATAGCGATTGCCTCTACCAAAAGGAGTAAAACTGATGTTTTCTGTTCATTAATTATTTCGAATTCATTGCTTACATTCACTTCATGCCTACTATCCAAAGGGTGCAAACTACCTTAACGTTAAAATGTATGTATGAGAATGATATGTAAAACTAGTGTTGGGAAATAACATTATTATTTTTTGTTTCGGTCCTCGTCACGAACTAACATAAGCTATAACTCAATGAACTTAAAATTCATATTCTTATTCCAAACTATACTTTTGTTTTCCCTGTTTCCCGATCGATTAAACTAGTTAAAGTTGGTTGGGGGTACAGTTTAGTTCTACCTACTTTTGGTTTGGCTTGATCCTCAGCAAAAGCCCACAAATAGATATGTTTATGTGCTGACATACAATGAAACTTTTACATACTTAGTGGCAATGAGGTTAGACAGTAGTTAGACTAAATAAAAGTTATAAAAATGAAGACTTTTCAGAAAAAGTCCTTCTTTCGACTATATCATTTTCTGACGCCGTACAATTGCATTAATAGATGATGTTTTACACGTAGTAGTCTACAGTAAAATAAAGGGATTTAACAAAAACATCAAAGTTGTCCAAGTACAGTTCAATCAAAATAAAGTTGTGTTGCACAGTATAGTCGAGAGTATCAAAACATCTTCAATTAATAATTTATAGATGGGAGAGTATTACTTAAACGTGATTAAAGTTTTCAAGTATTGAATAAAAAAGTTTGCATCATGTAACAAAGTGATCAACAGTCACCAAGAGTTTACGTTATGTAACGGTTTTGAAAATAATATAAAGTAATAACCTATGGAATAAAAGATAAATATTAATAATAATAATAAGTATTATTATTGTTATTATAAATGGCAACTATAATTTGTAAAATTAGAAGAGGTGCTAAGATCATAGGAGAATAAGGGATCGAGCATGACTCTTCTGTACAAAGAGTTTGACTCGAGACAGTGAATTGCTATAGCTTCGACTGTGTATAAATTCCTCATTCAAACCACTTCGAGCCAGTTTTTCTTACTTTGGAGAGGATTTTGAACGCAGATTCGTGTGGTGGGGTGTGATCTGAATTGACCATACGTTTTGGTACTGTTCCGTTGATTGTTTTGTATAACCCTTTAGATAATCATGTATGGTGGTTCTCATAAGTTTTTTTACCGAGTGCGCGCACTGTGTGACCAATACAACCTTTTCCACAGGGGCAAGTAAACTGGTAGGTTCATATTAAGACGACCCAAAGCGGCAGTTTATCATCAACACACCTCTGAATGGGTTTCTTACTAGAGAAAACAGCCTGAAGCTCTGCTGAATTTAGTCTTTTTCAAGAATCTAGAAAGTTTGTTCCTTAATATCTCAGCTGCCATATTTCCCTTGAATTCGATGTTCAAGGATAGAAATTTCTTCGGAACCATGAGAGCTCTTCCGATTTGACTAGGGTTTTAAATCACTGTCAATGAACTTGGGTGAGTTATCCTTCAAAAGCGTACGTCGGATAACATTTAGCTCGTCGTTAATTGTGTCTTCAGTGCATATTTGTCTGGCTCTTGAAGATAGAGAATGAAGTAAATTTCTCTGCTTACTTAGAGGTACCAAAAGCTAGAAGTTCGTATATTCACCGTTCCAGGTTAGATTTCTGTAGAACGGTCGCTGTAAAGATCCATATGATCTTTCAGTAAAACACTGAGGAAGTGAAATTCTGAGTCTAACTTTGCTTCTATTGTGAACTTAATCGAGTGGTGACAATTATTAAACTCTTGTAGTATTTCATTAAAGCCATCTTGGTCGAAGACATTAAAAGTATCGTTTAGATATCTATATCCTCCGATTAACAATTGTTCTACGGATTGTGCATAAAATAGTCTGCTACAAGAGGTTCGAATGGAGATCCCATCGCGACACAATTTATTTGACTGTAGAGATTATCGTCATAAGATCTAATCTCTTGCAAAAGTGTCTGAGATGTGAAAAAAACATTGGTCACCCAACTTAATCGCTCGTTAATATTGACTGCCCATTCTCACAGTGTGCTGATACACAAGTCTATCTCTAACCTTGACACACTTCTTGTGTTTGCCGCTATTTATAGTAGTATAAGTTATTCGCCAAGTTATTACGATATAAAATGTTTACCACAATCCTCCTTAATCTTTTATCTCCCAAAGCATTTCGATGACATCGTTGTCTTGATTTTATGTTGTTGTCTGGCAGTCATGTGAGAAATAAAATATATTTTGTTGAAAAACTTCACGTCAAACTGAACGATAAAATGCGCCATAGAAATTTGTCTAATAATAACATACAACGGTTGCCTTGAGGTTTTGTGGAGAAATCAGTTATAGAGGAGTGCGAATTTACCAACATGTCAGATTCAAGAAAGCGAACAAGAAGTTGGGAAATCGCTAATATAATGTTTTAGAGCAGCTTTTATGTATTCCAATCATTCAAATACAAAAATTCGGTTGAATAACAACACGTTTAATCTTGATGCACGATAAAAAACGGCTACTTATTAAAAATGTTTACCTGGACAGTGGTCTGGATCAGCCGAAAATGCCATCTTCAGGGTCAGATGCACGCAGTAAACTATAAAATAGTATTTTTATATTAAGACGAAAGTACCAAGTAATAAGTGAGAAAATGTGATCATAATTACCCACACCCGCAGCTACTAAATAAAAATACAAACAACCCACTCTTATTGTCCATTCAAATAGTGGTTCTATAAAACAAAACTTATTATTTGAAGGCTAACATTTTGTTAATCTTAACAAAAAATTTCAACCATAGTGTTTGTGATGAGAGGAAGATTTACAACTGAGTAGGTAGTAAGAACCACCACAGTAGTGTTGGAGAGTAAACACTGCCGACAAAAGTCTGATTTTATAAGGATTAAGGCGTTTTCGCTCTCTTATAGTGACATTTAGTTAGAAGTAAAAAGCTAATTAAGCATCTGTTCTAAAAAGGACAAATGCCTCCAACGCACTGGGTTTTGTGCAATTACACTGTACAAACACGTTTTCTTAAAGCTCGTGTCAGATAGGATATTAAACTGCTTACATAAACTTAGGACCCGTAACAGCAAATGAAGTATTAGCACAGTTGAGCAGGACCCACGGTACTACTGATACTGGAAATAAATTAAAGTACTTAGCTTACGACAAAATATTGTCGTTAATGCCACCTCTTTTTACCGGCTTCTTATTTGTTTCTTTTACAGTGAACTCGAGGTAGTCTATCAAAATAGTGACAACATTATCGAGACTAGAAATTCGACAAGACATAGGCAACAACTCGGATAAGAAGTACATGGTATGGAATTGCAATGTATATCTATCACGGATTCAAGCACAACATAAATAAATTATATTTTACATTGAACATGTTAATTATTCACCGCGCCCGCCACAAATGTAGTCTCAGTTTATTTGCAGTTCTGTAAGGTCTCAATCGTTCAGCATTCTTGTTTTCATTTCTTTCAACTGTCTGACACTTGAATTACCTGAAGAGTTGTTACTATCTGGTATGCCACGTGTAGCATAGTTGTTTGAGAATAAAATATTATCATCACCACTAAAATTGAAACTGGAACTCTCCATCTAAAGCTTGGAATTATCTTCAGAATTGGAATTAGCTACAGAATGGTCAGAATGATAAGTGAATGCTCTCACTTGACTGATCTTCACCTCGTCTATATGTCTGCTGTGAACCGAATGGTCATTTAAATCAAGAGTGCTCACAATCTAACCACCTATTTTCTGAATTGCAAGTCCCGTAAATGATAGGTATTCATCTTTTAGGTAAAACTGTATTACCGGTCATATTTTACTTGCTAAATGATTTTGGAGTGTGCGAAATTCATGTAGGTTAGCTAGACTGTCATGCTTTTCTGAACCTTCTGCATCACGATATTAAAGTAGGGATTTATCGATACATTTTTATAGCTCTTCTTCATTACAAGGACTCATCAATTTGATAACACTCTTTAGAGTTCGAATGAAATCTTCCGCTAAATCATCAGTTTGAGAATGTAGTAGGGTCGTAAATTGACTACAGCATCCAATATCAGTAGGCTAGATGTTAAACTTTCCATCCGTAAAATGGGTTCTGTTATCGATCAAAAATATGTTGAATATCCCTCCACGACTGACTATCTTCCTGAATGCTCTTTAAGTAACGCTTCCGCTTCGACTGCTCGTGAGAATTACTCCTACATATTTCGAATATGAATCGGTAATAATCAAAGGACAATATGAGCTTATAAATGGGCAACAGTAATTCATGCGAATATGTCGCAGTGATTCATAAGATTCGAGTCAATGACTAAGTGAATTTATTGTGCGATAGATCATGTGAACAAGAGGGAAGAGTTTTTTAATTTAAGACATATCAAAAACAGTCCAGGACACCAGCAAGTCTGACATCAAGTGAGTTTGTTTTCTCTGCTCCCAGATGAGCAGAGTAAAAGTTGTCTAGTACTACAAATCTAAGTGTAGAAAGAGTGGTTACCTCATCAATAAATCATAAAAACCTTCAGGATCTAGTGATATGTACTTTCTCACTCTGCCAAACTCGGGAAACCAGGGGTTTTAGTGAAAATCCAAAACGGTTTTCACAACGGTTGAGGCACTTCCCAAGTACTTAAGACTATCCTTTACAAGTCCTGATATATTAACAGGTAGTGGTTGAATTGGCATATGATCACTTTCCCTAGGTTGTCCTCCAAAGTATGAATACTGAGTTAGAAAATCTGCATAGGTGTGTTTTGAGTCGCTCGATGATCAGTGATTAAGTTATAAGCACCTAGATCTAAATTCCAACTCGGAACCATGTCAGTAGTTGACTGAAGTGACCTAGCTAGATTTTAAATGAATTGTATTGCCCGGTGATGAGTTTTAATATGGAATTTTGCACCAAACAAGTGTTTTTGCAGTCATCTAACCAACCATATAATACTTAAAGCCTTTCTTTTGGGTCTGACAGTGTCCTTGTAGTGGCATTGGACAATAGCCACACAATCCACAAAGCTGTGAACACGAGACTACTCAGAAAATAGATATTGAATATTTAACTCGGGGAAATACCTAACAATGGAGAAGGCGCGAACAATGAGTTGAGTGAATTAGAGTTGATCGAACGGCATGGCTCGGCCGTGCAGGCGTGGTTCCTGCTGAATGTTATTGATGATGTCACAGGTATTCAGTGTTTGACAACGCTTCTACCAGTAACACCTTCTAATATATTTCGTTCCCTCCCAGAGAAATCAAAAGACAGAGTCGAGGAGATTGGAAGAGTATATTTGGCGATGACCAATATATCGGAATTCTCTGATCTAAACTGGTTAGCGATTGTGGTTGATGTTGAGCACGGCGTTACCACACGTGATCTGGTGCGGATGCCTGACCGAGCGCCTTCAGCTAAATGAGTCCACTAAAACATATGGTCAGCATCCAATGTCGAAAACCAAGTGCTATTTATTTTGGGGATTTATTTACCGCTACAGATCACTCCCCCCCTAGTGGGGCAGTGACGACCCTAAGACGTGGCCAGCCAGAAGTTTAAACCCAACGAGTTTGTCGTTGGTAAACACTCTTCTGATAGCTTACTAAATTTAGCAGCGTCTGGTCGTCTTTCCTTACTATATGGGACGGAGGTACAACATAGTAAAAAAAGAAAATGTACAATGAAAATTTCGGATCCTCATAAACGTCATCGTTCTTTTCCAGCCGTCCTGGAAAAGAAAAAAGAAAATGTAAGTGCATGTCGAAATACACTCGTATGTGCGTAAAAGCACAATGTCGGCGGAAAAAAATGGAAAATAAACTCATGAACACGTAATAGCGTTAAAAAAATTGTTTTTGTTTTTTTTAAATAGAAATAAAAATATATAAGCATGTTAAAATTGTTTTTTTTTTAAAAAAAATAATATAAAATTTCTAGAAGTGCCTTACGTGCAATAGTCGTTTAAATGTTCTGGAAATCTCACCCTTCTTCCAGAACGCGTCGTTTTAAGTTTATTTTCGGATACTGTCGAAGTATCATCGTGTGTGTTGGTTGTCGGATGAGGTATTATAAGTGTCGGAGTCGTGTCGTTCGATTGTACCGAAGGAAAATCCACGTAGATAGGATTTCCTTCTAAATACGCTGCTTTTAAGCGATCGATACTGATGCTATCGTTGGTTCCGTTCTTATCGACTATATAGTACTTAGGTTCACGTTGAAGAACTTTGAAGGGTCCTTCGTATGCTGATTCGAATGGTCGTCGATGCGAGTCTCGACGAACGAAAACGTGTGTACTATATCGTAAGTCAGGTTGAACGAAAACATCAGTTGATTGAGGTCGAGTGGAAGCAGGTTTAACTGAACGCATTGCGTTTGTAAGCCTGTTCGTGTAGGAGGTTAGATCCATGTTCATTGAAGAGGATGAAGGATCCACGAATTCTCCTGGAAGTCGAAGTGTCGTACCATAAACGAGTTGAGACGCAGTGTATCCAATGTCAGCTTTCACTGCATTGCGGATACCTAGTAAGACGAGTGGAAGAGCGTCGGTCCACTGTGAAACGTTTGCAGCTGATAGCGAAGCTTTCAGTTGTCGGTGAAAACGTTCTACCAACCCGTTTGCTTGTGGATGGTAGGCGGTCGTTCGGAAGCGAGTGCTTCCTAAAAGAGTGGTCAGACGACGGAAAAGATCAGATTCAAATTGACGTCCGCGGTCTGTAGTGATGGTTGAAGGGCAGCCGAAGTTTGCTACCCATCGTTCGACGAAGGTGCGGGCCACTGTTTCAGCAGTGATGTCCTTGATAGGTACTGCTTCTGGCCATCGAGTGAAACGGTCTACGCAGGTTAAGAGATAAGAGTATCCATTTGAATCTGGTAAAGGTCCTACCAAATCCAAATGAACATGGTCGAAACGAGCATCGGGAGTTTTAAACGAGCCTAAGGGACATTTATTGTGTCTTATAACCTTAGATTTTTGGCAGCTTACACAGGAGCGTGCCCACTCCCTCACGTCTTTATTCATTCCAGGCCAGCAAAACCTTTCTGCTATAAGCTTGATGGTTGCACGAACACCTGGATGCGAAAGTTTGTGCAATGTGTTGAAGACATTGCGTCGATAATGTTTCGGCACGATTGGGCGATCCCTACCTGTAGATGTGTCACAAAGTAAGGTTTCCTTACCTGTTCCCATCTGTTTGATGCGTAGTTTAAGTGTTGTGGACGATAACTCGTGCTGAAGATCACTGTCTTCTTTTTGAAGCTCGGCGAGTTTAAGAAGGTCGATTCCTTGGAAACTGTTCAAGGAAGTTATACGAGATAAAGCGTCTGCAACTACATTGTTTGCTCCAGAGACGTGTTGAATATCTGAAGTAAACTGCGAAATGTAGTCCAGTTGTCGAGACTCACGGGGAGAGTACTTGTCAGAAGGAGAGCTTAACGAGAAAGTGAGCGGTTTATGGTCCGTGAAAAGAGTGAATTCACGACCTTCGATGTAGTGTTGGAAATGCCGTACAGCACAATACATAGCTAGGAGTTCCCTACCGAATGTGCTGTACCTCGATTCGGTGTCTAGCAACCTTCTAGAGAAAAATGCCAAGGGTTGCCAGGAGTTGTTAACCCATTGTTGTAAGACTCCTCCGATTGCTGAGTCGGATGCGTCTACTGCGATGCTAATGGGTGCTCGGGTGTCCTGATGTGCGAGCATTGTTGCTTTAGCAATCA